TGTGGTATCCGTTGTAATTTCTCCTCTTTCATTTCTAATTTTATTTATTTGAGCTCTCTCTCTTTTTTTCTTTGTGAGTCTAGCTAAGGGTTTGTCAATTTTGTTTATCTTCTCAAAGAACCAGCTGTTTGTTTCATTGATCCTTTCTACTGTTTTTTTGGTTTCAATTTCATTTATTTCTGCTCTAATTTTTATTCTTTCCCTCCTTCTGCTGACTTTGGACTTTGTTTGTTCTTCTTTTTCTAATTCTGTTAGGTGTAGTTTAAGATTGCTTATTTGGGCTTTTTCTTGTTTGTTAAGGTGTGTCTGTACTGCTATGAATTTCCCTGTCAGGACCGCCCTTGCTGCATCCCACGTGAGTTGGTATGGTGTGTTTTCATTTTCATTTGTGGCCAGATATTCTTTGATTTCTCCTTTAATTTCTTCAGTGATCCATTGGTTGTTCAGTAACATGGTGTTTAGTCTCCACATCTTTGTCACTTTCCCAAGTTTTCCCTTGTTGTTGATTTCTAGTTTCATAGCATTATGGTCAGAAAAGATGCTTGTTATGATTTCAGTCTTCTTAAATTTATACAGTCTTGCCTTGTTTCCCAACATATGGTCTATCCTTGAGAATGTTCCATGCGTGCTTGAGAAGATTGTGTATTCTGTGTTTGGATAGAGTGCTCTCTATGTATTTAAGTCCATCTGGTCTAGTTTTTCGTTGAAGTCTACTATTTCCTTATTGACTTTCTCTCTGGATGATCTATCCATTGTTGTTAGTATCTCCTTTTAGGTTTGTTAATAGTTACTTTATGTACTTGGTGCTCCTGTGTTGGGTGCATATATATTTATAAGTGATATGTCTTCTTGGTGGAGTCTCCCTTGTATCATTATATATTGCCCCTCTTTGTCTCTCATTACCTGTTTTATCTTGAGGTCTACTCTGTCAGATATAAGTACAGCAACACCTGCTTTCTTTTATTTGCCGTTAGCTTGGAGTATCATCTTCCATCACTTCACTCTAAGCCTGTTTTTGTCTTTAGAGCTGAGATGTGTTTCCTGGAGGCAGCAAATGTTGGGTCTTGTTTTTTAATCCATCCAGCCACTCTTTTGATTGGGGAATTCAATCCATTTTCATTTAGAGTGATTATTGATATATGAGGGCTTAATGCTGCCATTTTATCACTTATTTTTCACTTATGTATTTCCCTTGTTTCTCATGTGTATTTTGGACTGCCAGTTCAGTTTGGTGACTCTCTATGATGGTTTTCTCAATTTTCTCTTCATTTATTATTAGTGTCCTTGTTCTGATTTTTTGTTTAGTGGTTACTGTGAGGTTTCTATAAAAGATCTCGTAGATGAGATAGTCCATTCCCTGATAGCCTCTTGTTCCCCTAGTCTAAGCAAGTTTCATCCCTTTCCTCTTCTCCTTCTAAGTTGTTGTTGTCACAACTTAGTCTGTTACGTGTTGCAGATTTGTGGTTAAAATGAAGTGATAATATTTATTTTCGATGTTTTCCTTCCCTTTATCTTTAGAGTTATAATTAAGTATTTGCTAATCTGTTCTGATAGAGAGTTGCAATTTTCTGATTTTGTCTGCCTATTTAACTCCTTGCTCAAGGCTTTGTAAACCCTTTCTTATTTTTTTTCAGCTATGAGAGCCTTCTTGATCAAATCCTGTAGGGGGTCTTGTGGCAATGAAGTCCCTCAGCTTTTGTTTATCTGGGAAAGTTTTTATTTCTCTATCATATCTGAAGGATATTTTCACTGGATGTAGTATTCTTGGCTGATAGTTTTTTGTCTTTCTAAATTTAGAATATATCATTCCACTCTCTCCTAGCCTTTAGATTTTCTGCTAAGAAATCCGCTGAAAGCCTGATAGAGATTCCTTTGTAGGTTATTTTATTTTGTCTTGCTGCCCTTAATATGTTTTCTTTGTCATTGACTTTTGTCAGCTTTACTAATATATGCCTTAGAGAAGATCTTTTTACACTGATGTAATTAGGAGTTCTCTTGGCTTCTTTTACATGTAATTCCAGTCCTCCTCCAGTTTTGGGAAGTTCTCAGTTATTATTTCTTTGAACAAGCTCTCGGTTCCTTTTTCCCTCACTTCTCCCTCTGGAATAACTGTAATCCTTATGTTGCATTTCCTAATTGAGTCAGATATTTCTCAGAGAATTTCTTCCTTTCTTTTTAGTCTAAGTTCTCTCTCCTCCTCCATCTGCAGTATTTCTGTTTTCCTATCCTCTAGGTTGCTAATTATTTCCTCCATATTGTCAGCTCTGTTGTTTAAGGACTCCAGATTTTTCTTTATTTCACCCATTGTGTTTTTCATCTCCAGCATTTATGATTGGTTTTTCTTTATAGTTTCTATCTCTTTTGTGAAGAATTCCCTCTGTGCAGTAATTTGATTCCTGATTTCAGAATTCTCTTGTAACTCATTGAGTTTTCTTATGATGGCTATTTTGAATTCTCTGTCATTTAGATTGTAGATTTCCATTCCTTCAGGATTGATTTCTGGGTGTTTGTCTTTTTCCTTCTGGTCTGGAGTATTAATATATTTCTTTATACCATTTGATGGAGTGGACTTGTGCTGGCACATAGTGATAGTTTCTGGATGCAGTTCCACCTCCTGCCACTTGGGCAGGTGGGTGGGGGCTGTGTAATTTGAGCCTGCTGCCGCGATCTTTGTCAGCTGTGCCTATCCAAGCCTGGACCACTCCCTGGGCTCGCAGCGGCCCTGTGGGGTCTCCCACCAAATGCGAAAGTAGTCACATGGGGGGCTCAGGTCTGCTGCCACCTGCTCCCACAGTCCTGTGGAATTATGCTCCCCCCTTTGGGGCCACAGTGGTACTATGGGCATTCACGGCAGTCAGGAGCTCATTCCGTTTGTGCCACACTCTGCTCCTAGGTCACACCAGCCTTTGTGCTTGGTGGGTGGGGCTTCCTCCCTGAGTCCAAGCCTGTGCCGCTCTCTGTGGCCACATGGCCCTGAGGACTCTCACACTAGATGGGGAAGCGATCACATGGGCTGAGGGCTGCCATCACCTGTTTTCAGTGTTGTGCTGAGGCAGGCTCTCCCTCTGGGCCACAGCGGTGCTATGTTCGCTCCAGCCAGGAAAGCAGTTGCACGTGTGCGCTGGGCTGCCTGGGGGCCAGAGGGTGCTCACCTATCTCTACCACCTCCTTGGGGGGTAGTCCATCCCCCTTCAGATGTATAGCTGCTTGGGTCTCTCAGGTGTCCTGGTGTGCTGTGTGGGTATCCTCTGCAGATCAATAAATGTCCTTTTAGTTGTAGTTCGAAGGGGGAGAGACACAGGGAACATCTCACTCTGCCATGTTGCTGATGTCACCTCCAAAAGAACTTTCTTTCTTCATGTCGTACAGTCATATTTCCTTGTATCATCTTACATAGGAGCTTCTTCTTCCTCTTGTTGTATTTCATCATGTCCTCTGACATCTTAGCAGGGTCCAGAAGTCTGTCTTCCACGTTGTTGTGTTGCCAGCGCTTGGTGACTAGTGTTGTTAAGCTACACTGTACTGAGCCCAGCTGAGCTGCAGTCAACATCTTTGAATCAGGTTATGTTCAAGCAATTTGTCCTTTTTCCCTTCCTACGCGAGTGATTCATAGAACTCTTCCTCCCCTGTGAAGAAGATCTTTGCAAAGGCAGCTTCATTTTCACTTGTTTGATGCATCCAGCTTTTACTGAGTGCATACTGTGTGCGAGGTCCTGTGTTTGGCTATGGGAATATACGGGTACATTTTAGATAGTTTTGCCTTCAAAAAGGTCTTTGCTGGTTGAGAATGTGCTTGTAAACCATATTCCTTCCTTCAGCCCAACCAGATATTGAGTTATTCCTTATGTGAGAAGATTCATTACTAACTACCCTAGGACCAGAATGGAAACTACCCTAGGACCAGAAACCAATCTATATTTTAAAAAGAGGAGAATTTATTGCAGGAACTTGGTACAAAAGTGTTGGAAAGGACCAGAGGAATAAAAGGGAGCAAATGGTCTTACCTAGAGCTCAGTAACTATAGAAAGCTGCTCTTACCCCTAAGGCTGGAGGAGCAACGCATGTGCTGTTCACTGGAGTCCATTCATGCAGGTTGTTGTTGGTTCACAACACTGCATCTGAGCCAGACCCAGGACTGGCTCCCCACTGCTGCTGTGGGGCCTCCACTGATGCTCTGCTGCCCCATGCCAGCTCTCCTGGAGCCTATGATTGCCCACTGTCACCTGCCTCTGCCACAGAGACTGCCAGAGCCAGAAGCAGACGGCCTCCCCCAGTATTGCACCCTTCTTTGTCAAAACGAAGCCAAGACTTAGCTGGCAAGAAAGTCTGGAAAATATTGTTTTAAAGTTTCTAGCCTCCTGCAATGCTAAGGAGAGCACAGAAAGGCAGGAATGGACGTGAGTCCCACCAGAAAGTACCCAACATATCAGGCCAAGTAGCGTCACAGCACTATTTGAAGCAAATCAGCCTCTCTTTCTCCCTCTCTTTTTCTGTTCTTTCTCTTTCCCAAAATCACCCTACAGAAGCTTCTGTAGGCTGCAATCCCTTAAACGATGCATGGTTTCTTCAGTTAGATGTGATCTCATGTCAGTCATCACCTGTATGAGTGAGGTGCCTCTTATTTCTGGGCCCATCCACCTGCTGGGAATGCAGCAGATTTTGTTATTGATCTCACTGAGAGTGTTGAAACTAAAGAATTGTTTTAATTTTCCAATGACATGTTATAAAAAGAACATCGCATAGTGTTAGTTTGCAAGAGAAATGTAAAGAAATAAAATTTCCTATGATTTAGGTAATTATCTCTTAAAAATGATTTTCCTTTCGTAGAAAGCACAAAAACATTTTCCCCAGAATAACTTTTAACTATAAAACACTGCTGATGTCAGTGTCTTTTATCTTTATCAGAAAGTTGGCCTCTGAGCTGTATTTCTTTATTCTGATTAATGCTCTCGAGGAGCTGTTCTAACCCCTTTCTCTGTTTTCTCTGGCTTCCCTACTAGGATGGTCTTTAGCAGAGAGGCCATCAGGAGACTTCTTGCCAGTAAGTGTCGCTGCTACAGCAATGATGCTCCCGACGATATGGTCCTGGGAATGTGCTTCAGTGGGTTGGGAGTCCCTGTGACGCACAGCCCTCTCTTCCATCAGGTGAGAAAAATGTGTTTATTCCTGCCTCAGGAAGAGAGGGGGATTCTCCTCTCAGTTAAGGATCTGACTTCTTTCCCTTCACATTTTCTTCTGGAAACAATCTTAAGAACTATGTGGACGGGCTCTGGTGGGCCAATCCTTTATAGACTTCTTTGTCCAGAGGGTCGATGCTGTACCATGTACAGCATGAAGGTGGAAAGCAGAGACATTTAGAAAACAAAATGGTGTTTGACCAGTATCCTTGCATGTAGGGATGCACAGGGAAAAGCTGTTCTTTTTCTTTCTTTCTTTTGAGTTAAAAAAGTGATGGTATTTAAAAATTATTAGATGCTATAGAATTATACAGGACTGACCCAGTGCTGTCCTGCTGGCCACTACGTGTATCTGATTCTGCACTGTCCTCAGTTTCTCTGTCCTTGGCTGCCTTTTTATTGGACTTTCTCCCCTTAGGTTGCTATTAAATTGAATGGCTAAACTTCATTAAATTTCAGTATAGTATCTCAATAAGCATATATTCTGGGGATTATAGAAAAGAAAATATGATGTTCACTGAGGGTGGTTGGTGCTAATAGCTTCACCACACTCTAGTTAGGGATTGGACAAGGGAATCCTGCATTATTTTTAGCAGTTTTTTAAGAATCAGGTCAGTGAATGTTCTGATATTGTAAGAATAATAGCAGATATGCTTGCACTAAAAATAACCTTAGCCCACACCCATTTAATACTCTCCTTCAAGAAATGCAAAACATTTTGAAATTTGAAGTCTATGAATGTATGTGTATTTTAAGTGCTCTCCCTTATACTGAAAATATAGTCTTCATGCTTTATTTAGTAAACAGTAGCAAATACTATCATAGCAATATAAAAAATTGAGCATGACAGAAATAACACTGTAGAAAATAACTTGAACAAGGCAAAGAAATTGTCTGCATTATCAAGAAAGGCAGAACCCATTTCTACATTCTCGAGGACCACAAGGGAGGATAAAAATAGAACTTTAATAATAAGAAATGTATGACAGACCTCCTTCCTGGTACCAGTCAGAAGGTACTTAAAACCATCTTTTAAAACTTTGAGAGGGCTTATCCACGTTGAGCCTATGTGTTGTGTTATGGTGACTTACAAAAGCAAGTTATTCTTTGTCTCTCTCTCTCTTGCTCTATTTCACGTTTCACTCGTAGAAAAGGAAGGGTAGTTAAAACTGTTGGTATATAAGGGAAATAATTTATCATTGTTAATATGATAGTCTTAGATTTTTATAGCAGCCTTTTTTACTTAGGGAAGAATATGTTAGTAAATAAAATGTTAAGGAGAAAAGAAAGAAGGAAAATAATCTTGAAACATAAGTCCTTGAAGATAATTTTAAAAAAAATTTGTTGTTACCCACACTTTAAAACTCTTGGTTTCTCTAATTCACATAATAAATTTTAAACCTTTCCAAAATCATAAAATATGCTTAAAACTTATCCTCCCCAACAGATGCTGCTGTATCTTCCAATTTGTAAGCTTCGTTTAGAGAGTTTTTATGATTTGGACACTATTTTCCATTTGTAATGTTTGAACACCAATCCAAACAGTATATTTGTTCATGTTGAGAAAGAGATATGAGGCAAAGAGATAAAATCTAAGGTTCCTGATGAGTTAGAGATAGAGTGGGCATTTGGAAACTGTCTCAGATACAGAGTTGCCTGGGCCACTTTCCTTCTCTTTCAAGTCAGAGAAGGTTATTGTGAGATCATAAGTTTAGAGGAGGGCTTCAAGGAATGTCTAGTATATCCCTTTGTTAAAAAAAACTGTCTAGGGTATGTGGCTTTCTGTTCTTCCAAACTTATATGCCACTAATGGGTATGGCATTATGCAATGGCTAGTGAATCTTCTGCACAAAATTGTCAGAATAACCATTTCAGGACTCTAGAAATCAACCAAAAGCACTAAGAAACATTTATTCCTGAAAAACTGTTATAATTTCGGGTGACAACCACAGAGTGTGAGGCCCTCTGAGGCCTTTCTGCCTGAAGCTCCAGCTTGGTTGGAGAGAGCAGCAGCAGTTTCACCAGTATGGACCTGGCTGGAAAAAACAACTTTGCTGTGTGAGGGGGTGGACTTGATATAGGGAGGGAGACATAAAAACCCACAGATTTGTCAGCTAAAATTGTCAAACTTGGTAGGAAATAAACAAGAAAAACCTGTACCTTTACTGGCCTGAGATTGCAGTCTCAGATACAGTGAAGGGTAACTTAGGCAGAAATTTAATACCTGATACCTGGACATAAGAGAGCAGTAGTAGGGCTAGGAAAGCTCTCCACTGGGAAACTATGTGCATGCACATAGGACAGTGGATGAGCCTAGCAGAAAGTAAAAGCTAAGGCATATTTGAAAACCCACTGAAACTTTGAATGTATTTTCCAACCTACACAAGAGTGGAAGCCTCATTGGTGTGAGGTGTTTGAGCACGACCTCTGCCTATATCATAAGTTGACCACTAAGCTGTTTAGGCACAGGGGTGATTTCTAGCAAGCCAAGCTAAAAAATAAAAATAAGAACTAAAACTTGAGTGGAGATATCAGCAGCCACACACTGTAGGGAGAAAGATTCCACAATGTAAGTCCAGGTAAGTTACTTTAAAAAAAAAAAGTAATAAAGATAAACAGATTTGTGAATTGCTATAATACATTATCTAAAATAACCAGTTTCCAACAAATTATTGTGAGACAAGCAAAGAGACGTACTCAGGGAAAAGTGTAGTCAATAGAAACTGACTCTGAGTGGGACCAGATGTTGGAGTTGATAAAGACTTCAAAGCAGCTAATAAAACTATAGTCACAGGATTAAAGGAAACTGTGTTCATAGAATTGAAGGAAAATATGATGACAATGACTCAACAAATAGTAAATCTTAATAGAAAAATAGAATCTATAGTTGTAAAACGCAATAACCGAAATGAGAAATTATCTAGATACATTAAACAGTAGATTTGAGATGACAGAAGAAAAAATCAGTGAATTTGAAATCAGATCAATAGAAATTACCCAGTCCAAACAACAGAGAGAAAGAAGACTGAAGAAAAATGAATAGAGTCTCCTCAGAGATATGGAGTAAAACATAAAGTGTACCAACATACATTTAATGGGAGTCCTAGAAAGAGAAGGGAGAGAGAATTAGACAAAAAAAAATGTATTTTGAATAAGGGTTGATACTTCCCAAATGTGATGAAAAACAATCTATAGATCCAAGAAGCTCAACAAAGCTCCAGTAGGATAATCATTAAAAGAATCACATGTAGACATGTTATAATCAAATCACGGAAAGACAATGAAGAAGTGAAAAATCTTAAAAACAACAAAAACCTAATGAAAAGGGAAACAAAAAATGGTTATTGGCTGATTTCCTATTGGAAATAATAGAAGCCTGAAGGCAGAAAGAAAAAACAGAAACTAATCAACCAATGATTCTTTATCCAGCAAAACTACCCTTCCAAAATAGAGGTGGAATAAAGACATTCCCAGATAAACAAAAAGTGAGAGAATTATTTGCTAATAGACGTTTCCTACAAGAAAAGCTAAAGGAAATCCTTCAGATTGAAAGGAAATAACACCACATGGTAACTGGAATATATAGGAAGGAATGAAGAATACTGGAAAGGGTTAATATGAGGGAAAATATAAAAGACTATGTATATGTTTGTGTGTATATATACATATATGTATATATGTGTATATATATATAAATTTAAGAAAAATAAATGGGTGTATGTAAACACACATAAACACATACGTATTTTTTTTCTCTTAATTTCTTTAGCAAATATGAGATTGTGTAAAACAATAATTATAACCCTATATTGTTGGGTTTATGACATAGTTAAATGCAGTATATATGATGACAGTAGCACAAAGGCAGGGGAAAGAAGTGGAACTATATTATAGCAAAGTTGATTTTGTTGGAATTAAGTCAATATTAATCTAAGTTAAAGATGCATATTGTTATTCCTAGAGCAATCTCTAAGAAAATAACTTTAAAAATATAGCTTAAAATATCAATAAAGGGATTTAAATGTACACTAAAAGATTTTGTTTAACAAGAAAAATGTCAATAAAGGAGGAACAGAGGGACAAAAACCATATGAGACATATAGAAAAACAAATGGCAAAATGGCTGATGAAAATACAACTATATCAATTATTACATTAAATATGAGTGGACTAAACACTCTAGTCAAAAGGCAGAGACTGCCAGACTGTCTAAAAAGCAAGATTTGACTATATGGTCTCTATCAGAGTCACGTACACTTTAGATTTATAGATGAAAATAGGTTGAATGTAAAAGGATGGGAAAAGATATACCAGACAAACAGTTAATCATAAGAGAGCTTGAGTGGCTGTATTTATATTAAACACAGTAGACTTTTAAGAACAGAAATATTACTAGAGAAGAAAGAGGAACATTTCATGATGAAAGATCAATATATCAAGAAGATATGAAAATTATAAATGTATGTATATACCTAACAGCAGATCTTCAAAGTACATGAAACATAAATATATAGAATTGAAAAGAGAACTAGACAGACATTAACTACTTGACCTAAGTGACATATATAGAACATTTCACCTCACAACAGCAGAATGCACATTTGTTTCAAGTGTACATGGAATATTCTACAGGATAGACCATATGCTAGGTCATAAAACAAGTCTCAATAAATTTAAAAGGATTGAAAATATGCAAAATTTATCTTTCCAGCAACGGAATGAAATTAGAAATCAACAGAAGAAAAATTGAAGGAATCCCCAAATATTCAGAAACTAAACAACGCAGTTTTAAATAACCCATAGGTCAAAAAGGAAATCCTAAGGAAAATTAGAAAACATCTTGAATGGAATGAAAATGAAAATACAACATCAGAATTTTTGAGTGTAGCTATGTAGTGATTAGAGGGAAATTTATAGTTTTAAACACTTACTAGAAAGTAATAAACATGTCATTAATCTAAACATATA